AAGGAAATGAATTACTCCAATTTTTTTGTAAATTTGTAATTACTCGAACAATTTTTCACATATAAACTTCTTTCTTCGTGCAAATAAAACTTAAGACTACATACTTTAATGCTCTATGTATAGAAAAAATTATTTTTTTAGTATTAAAATGAAGTTTAATCGAAACATTCAACCAATTTTTCTTAATTTCATGACTACTGTATTCAACATATTTTCAAAACTATTGTTTACCATGTTAACAGCTTCATAAATACTTAAAACTTTGAATAGAATATTTTTTTAATATAACAATTAATGTCCGATGGCCCATTGACTTGAAAAAATATTCTATACATATGAAATATACTGTGGGCGGGGGTACCCGACTCTCCCCTAATTGAAAGAAAAGGTATTGAAAATGGAAAAAAAGCACATTAACATGAAAGATAAAAATGGAGGTAGTACACAAGGGTTAAAAAAATTAAGATTGAAACAATGTGAAACTTAAATGAGTTACAATGTTAAAAAAAAAAAAATAGGACATGTTGAACTATAAAAGTAGAACAACCGTGATATCTAATATACGTGTAAAATCTAATATCAACTATAATTACCAAAATGCTTACCCTAAGTTATGAAGATGTCACAATTAATCTTGGATTAATCTTGGACAGAGATCAATTACTCAATTTTTTTCAGTACATTTAAACTTATTAAAAGTAAATATTTACCAAACAATTTATAATACTAATTGCTGTTAATTTACAATAATCTGTAATACCAAGATTATGCATAAAAGTTAATAGATTCAAGGTGTGTAATTTTTAATAAAATTTTGCCTAAATAGTTGAAAACTAATAAAGACAACAAGCACCAAATTTCACTACAGGAAGCTGCAAGTTTTTTTAATTTTGTTTCTAAAATTAGTAGAACTAATCTTGAACAAAATATAAGATAATAATTTTTCAAGCAAATGATTCCGTAATAGTTATTTTGAAATAAAATATGTGAGATAGAATTGTATTATTTACCTGCAATATTTGCGGTGGAGGTTTTTTTGCTTTATTATTTGTTTCTGCAGTTTCTTCAATTGGAATTTCAAATGCTACAGGTTTCGGCACTAAAAGGACAAAGGAATTAATGTGAGCAAGAAAGGGAAATGAAAACAATTAAATTGAAGGTATTAGTTATTGTTTATGAAATAATCATCGTAGAGGACATAGTAACCCAGTGGTTACTATGTCCTCGTCATCATATGTCTCTCGTCATCTATGAGCATCCTCCTTCTTTCAGGGTCCACAAATCCACTAAGATCCACCCAGTACATGCAATATACGTCCTCCTAAAATCTGTAGAATCGAAAGTCTTTTCATCAGTCGCTAAGCTGTACCATGAGTACATGTGGAAAAGGATAAAATTTCCTTCTTCTTTAGATCTATGTATAAATTGAGGAAGTAGTGACACGATTGAGTGGTGCTGCCATCTATCCGGAGGGAGAGTTTTTAGGTAAGTAACTCTTTCACCTTAGCGGTGCTCTCTTGTCAAACAACATGACCATAAAAATTACTAAAATTCCATTTTCATGAACTGATAGTTCTACTCGTAAAAAGTCGTATTTTAACCCGCAATCTTCTCCTCATAGCAAAACCAGTTTTTTCACATTATTAGATAGGAAAATAGTGTATGAAGAGAATATATGAAGTATAGTGGAGTGAAACATTCTCTCAGTTTTGCCCATTTGCAAAACCGCCTGTTGGTCAAACTGAAACTAAATAAATTTCTATGATAAACAGGATAAAAATATTTTGTGCAAACGGCCCAATTTTTGCAATGTTTTGTTTGTGCATAACCAATTTAAAAAATTTCTATATTATTTACATTTCTTTCAATTGTTTATAAATTAAATAACAAAAACTAATTGCCAAATATTGAAAAAATATTAATTGTTTACAATTATTTTTGGGTTAACGATATTTATACATCTATTTTTAAAAAAAATTTGAATTCGTGTAATTAATAACTTCTTAGAGCACTTGAGTTTTTTCTAATGTAGATTTAAGAAAGCGTCTAAAATTGTTTCATAATGTTAGTCTTCAGTTGGAAATGTTTGTTATCAAAGGAAGAATATCTATATTACGAATGTCTATATTACGATTATAATGAAAAATATCTAGTATATTAAATAATAATATAAAATATATTTTTTCCGTAAGAAGTTATTTTACGACATTCGATTGTAAGTTATGTTGAATTTTAAGGATTGTTTTGAAATATTTAAAATCAATTTTTAAATTTCATTTTAAAACTTTTGTTGTTAGTTTTAAAAAAATTCACGTTACGACTTTTTTTTTTCAATATTATTATTTTTTAATTGTGGTGGCTCAATGGATTGAGTATTTGCCATTCAATGAGGTGAACCGGGTTCAAATCCTATCGATGGATGATCGATATAAATTCCACACCCGGCTCATACCAACAACAATGCTGACGCAAAATATCCTCAGTGGCAGACGGATCATGGGTTAGAGTTTCCTTACCATCGGGCTAACGATTGGTGGTTTTTGTGGTTTTGCTTTACACGTAATGCAAATGTGAGTAAGTTCCATCAAAGAGACCTCCACGAAAGCAAAATGTCTCCTAATACTTGCTTCAGGAGTTCCTTTGTCTTCTGGATTGGGTTCAAAATTGCTACGGAGTTGAATATTGGTTGTCGTGAACTCAAAATTGGGTTGGCTATTCAACGACGGTTATGAAAAAAAAAATTTCATTTTTTTATTAATTTGCAAGTTTTGCAAAACTTTAATGTTTGTTTCTATATGTTTAGAATCATTTCCGCATTTTCAGGTTTAAACTCGTGTAACAGATAATGAAAACAAAACATTATGACATTTCTGGGAGTTATAACTTATTCTATGGCCATAGATGTAAATTATGCAAATTTTTAAAGCTTATTTTAATAGCAATCGTTTAATTTCAGTTTTTGATATAAGTTTTAAAAAACTGGACATTTTCTTATTAAAAGTTATTTTAGAATATTAAAGTTAAGACAAATTAAAAGCTTATCGATACATTTTTTATTGAAAATAAAATTTTACAGTTTCCTTAAACTCTTATACGTTGTTCGAAAATTGTCAAAAATGGTCAAATAATTATTTAATTGTAATTTTACAGCAATCCATCAAAACTACAAAAAAACCATAAGAAAGATAACATTCAAATTGTGTTGCTGATTTTTTTTTGTTACTTATGCCACTTGCCAATATCAGCCAGCAAGCCTACTTGGGAATTACGCGAATTTTTAAGGCAGATGGTGCGTTCCGTGTTTTTTCAGTGGCGCCATCTGTGGCCAAGAATACGACTTCCACCACACACAAGTCACAGCCTATTTTACAGGGGGTACCAAATCATATTTCATTCATTCATCCACTTATCGTAATTTTGAACTGAACCAGAGAACGATCAATCTCTAATTCAGACTCCCAGAGGTATTGATTTACTATAGGAACTTGAAGGACTTTATGACCCCAACAGACTCAACATGCACTAGTCACCATCTAATACACATAAATTCTTCGTTCTCAAGAGCGCAAGTCGAACCTTCAACCAACTAGGCTATGCATGCCACATTCAAGCAGTTAACTGTGTAACAAAAAAAGTTTAGTAATCCCCATTTCGCACGACAGATTGCTGCACTAAATAAACTAATTAAGCCACATTCAGCGATTAACTTGACAAAACACAACTAAACGGCACTCTAACTCCAATGCCGAATTAAATTTCAAGTGAATGATATTGAAACCATGCAAGTTGTATTGTTTCCAAAACCGTATAGTTTTGTACTCGTGATTTTTTTAACCATACCAGCTGTAAACGGACTCAAACACGTAAAGGGAAGAAAAAAAAATTTCCAAACAGTAAAATTCTAAGGTAAATTGGATGGATAGACTGCTGCTGATTATTTCACCGTTATTTCAGAATGAAAATCTCAAGAGTATAGTTTACGATGAACCAAAAAGTATAAATAAAACGATACAGTAGTAAGCGTTCACCTCACTAATTCATTTTTAATACTTTTCAAACATCAGAAAACTGTATTTGTAATAGGTAACCATGACATGAGTAGAAAATTCCAAGTACATAATTAGAAAATCTTTACCATTACAAACCGTTGCCAACATTTAAGATAATTTATGCAAATAAGAGGTCATTTACTCTTTCTGTGGAGCTTTCCTTTTAAAAAATCTCAGCCTTATTGTCGGACAGGACTCAACAAAGGGGAACTAATCAGGCAGCCTCTTTTCGAAGATTTAAGGGAAAAAAGTTACTCGACATTTTTCGCCAAAAAGTCTGCCAGTTAATATCTCTTAGATCAAAATAATAAGAAGAAAATAAATTAATCATACTCCGTACACAAACAAAAAAAAGTCTCACAAGATTTTTATCTCTCTCTCTTTTTTTTTTAATCCGAGAGAAGAATATAAATATAGGACTCTTTGTAAAAGCAACGTTCGACAGCAAATAATCCTGGTCTCGAAATAATTCACGCGTACTGTAGTGCATTATTCGAAGAAAGTGCAACGCTCTGGTCCTTTACGTGACTCGAAATACTGATTTTCATTCTGCAAAGTCATTAGTTGCTTGAATTACAATGAAGGACTGGAGTAATCCAAGCGCAAAGGAGTTACACAATGGAGTAAAGAGAATTACTAGGATAAATTGGGTTGTAAAGAGTAATTACTTTAGTGCTGCGAGTTTATTTTTTAAAAATTTATTTAATTTAGGTGGACTTTTGGTTAATTCAACGGAGGAGAAAATGTGAGGCATTTTTTTAAGACTTATGTCGAATGGATGCATCGGCTGAGTTATTAAGCAAAGCAATTACTAATACTCATTAAAAAAAGGATGTGATCATATAAATAAGGAGTCGTCTTGGACTTATTTATCAAAACTTGTTTTTTATGATTAAATTTTATAGTCAAAAAAATATCAGAATGTTTAAAAAATTATGCATTTTTTTTGCTTTATACTTTAAAAGTTTTCATTAAAAAAATAAAAACTTTTGAAATACAGCTAAAATCTAATTTATTAAATTTATTACTTCATAACATCGATAATTGTTCGTAGTATCGGGGTCCAAAACGAAACATTTATTTCTACTCTTAACTTTTGAAAAAAACTCCTAATAAATATCTATACACAAAGATCCACAAGAATTAGTGCATATTTTAATTAGTTTTTCGTACTGAGTAATGTTTGATCTCGAATTTCGACTTTATAGAGAGAATTAAATATTGGCATAAGACTACATAAAACATGTGAAAAAATACATAAAATATGTGTAAGGGCTTTTGTAGATTTCATTATGTTCCGAATCGAGGATCCACTTTACCTTAATTTCCCAAAATTTAGATAATAAGTTCAAATTCAGTTTTAATCGATCAAATTTTTACTGGAGACAATTTTAAGACTTTTTCTTAAGAATGAAGATTCTATATAATTTTTGCTGAAAGTTAAGAAAAAATCTTACGAAATCAAATTTTTAACAAAATAAACAGGGAGCAGAAGTTCCATTAAGATATCTAAACTACTTCATTTTCAAAGGACGAGTGGAAGCTTTTTTAAATATTAAAAGGCTTTTTCTCAAGTCAAGTGATCCATACTCACCAGAACTTTCTAAAGGAATTCAACTGCGCTGGCAATTATAAGAGCGGTTGAAGATTTTATTCAAGTCTCAAAACATCTGTCAAAATTGTATTTCGGTTTCAAAAACACGTTTTACTGTGCAGTAATGATTCATTTTGTAAATGAAGATTACATTTCTAACAAATTGTAGATAATTTATACGTTATAAATGGCTACTCAAAGTAGTACTTTATTATGTAAAAGAGATCACTAAAAAGTTCTCGTCACCAACTTGGAAGGAAGATAGCACATATCATAAGGATTGAAAATTGCATTTCAACCCATGGATGGAAACGTCATGCAGCGTTGCCTGAAGCTCTTCCCTATTTTAAAGTGAATGCCCATGCACCTTTGAATTGATATTATTACTTTTATAAATTATCTAAATTTTGTGTTTGCTAATAATTGATATCGGAAAATTGCATCAGAATAGGCTAC